CACTATGAACAACTTTGGTATTCATGACTAAGACTAGTTTGGTCACTAAGTCATAGTTCTAGTGTAAGCCATCATTTGAAGGTAGTATGTTTGACCTAGGTTGAACTATGTCATAGAGACTTTGCATGGATGTATTCACTAAAGCAAAGTTGTTGTATTTGATGAGATCAACAACTTTTATTTTTGGCTCATAGGCTAGTTCAGCTCCTAACATGCTTGAATTTAGCTCACAAGAATCAAGATTTCACTGTTTTCAGCACTTAGAAAATCTGCTAAGTCATTTGGAGTTTGCAGTGCTAACATACCCAACTTTGGGATGATTTTACTCTCTATTCGTTGTGAATTAGGCCTTGATCCTTTAAGATAAATTTGAGATGGGATATAGGGCTACGGCTTTGGTTAAGGAAGAATTTGCTAATGATCCACGGATTAGGAGTTGGAGCTTCACTAAATCGCACCCGTAGACGCTCCGTGCTTCGCCCTACCTCCTTGACCCTTTCGAAGTCCCGTTCGAGCCAAGGTGAGGGCCTATTGGCCATTTCCGTCGCCGCTGCCGTGACTGGCGCCTCGACGGACCGTGAGCTCGCCGTGGCCCAAGCTCGCCACCATTCCTCCAAGCTTCTTTTCTCGCGCATTGTCTTTCCCATGGCTTGTAGATGTTGTTACCCCACCTAATCTAACCGCTACCGCTCGGACATCGCTAGCGTGTGAACCTCACCGGAGTGAGCTTCGCCGCCGCGCGGACATGCCCAGCGCCCAGGCGTCCCAAGCGCATCCCCTAACCCTAGAGTAGCCCTAACAGCTTCGCCTGAGCACCGTGGTACCGTAGCCTCTCTCGCTGGGCCTTGTCGTGGCCAGAGACGGCCGGCGCACTGCCGTGCAGCACCACCGTGCCACCTTGGCCGGCGACGAGCCACCTCCAGTGCACCTCAGTGCTAACCACCTACATGGATCAATGCGTGAGAGGGTGAGGAACATCACTGTGGGTTTGGTTTCGTCGGAGGATTCGCCGTCGGCGAGCTACCGCCGGTCGACCGCCATCCCTTGCTCTGGTTTGACTGACCTGTGGGGTCCGCTGGCAGCTAGGTCCCGCCTGTCAGTGTCTGTAGTCCTAGATTTTGATATTTCTTTTCCAGATTTTTGTACCAACTTTGAAAAATCATAAGTTGAGTTATAGATGTTCATTTTTGGTGAACCAAATTTTGTTGTGTTCCTTATGAAGTTTAGTATTTTATAAAAATATGATATCTACAGTTTCTAATATTTTTATTGGTTATTAAAATGTATTTAGATAAATATTTTTTGAATGTTTACAATCTTGTAAATTATATATCTTGAGCTAGAAATGTGATAAAATTGTGATTCCAATTCGATTAGTATTGTGTTGACATTCTCTGGCTAGAAAAAATATTATGCTTGTAGTAAACTTGATTGAAATATGATATTTCTATTTATCTATTAATAAATGGCATTTTTTGAGAAAAATTATAGAGATAAAAATATATAACATATTGCTATGCAAATTTTTGTACAGTAGCATGGCACTAGTATGAAGCTAGAAAAATATATAATCTGTTGTTTGACACTTTTCTATAGGGTTTACTATTTTTACTAAAATAGGCCTTGCTAGCTTGTCATTTTTGTAAAGGATGTTATACATGTCCAAATGGTATGAAATTTTTACAGTAGCCTGTTGTGAGCACTAGGAAGCTACTGTAATTTTATGAGAATTTATTGTGCACATTTGATGTATGTTGTTATTTTCCCTAATTATTTAATTAAATTAATAAAGGCATTTAAGTAATTAAATTGGGATTGACCATGATGTTTTCTATGGTGCTTGTGATGCATAGTAATTGTTGATGTTCATAGTAAGGCTTAGAAGCAATTGGTTGTATGCAACTAATTAATTGTTACTCCCTCCATTCCAAATTGTAAGACGTTTGACTTTTTTAGCTTCAAGTTTGACCACTCGTCTTATTCAAAAAATTTGGGCAAATATAGTCAAATTTAAGTCATTCTTGAAGAATTTTTATTAATAAACCAAACCACGACGAAAGAAATGATATTTTACACAAATTTTTGAATAAGACGAGTGGTCAAACTTGGTGTCAAAAAAATCAAACGTCTTACAAATTGGGATGGATTGAGTACTTTATAATTCAAATAAGTGGTTGCATGTATAGTTTCGGTTGTGTGGATGATTTCATGTTGATAATGATCCTTGCTCTGAAACTTGTTAATAAAAAAGTTGTAGATAACTTAATATTCTATCTTGTGTTAAATTTTCATAGTCATAGGCCTTAGGGTTTAAGAGTTTTAGCTATTACAAGTTTGCTGTCCGAAATGTTTATTGTCTAGCCAGATTTGATTGACTGATTTGTTTGACCTATATAACTATTGAATCACCTTGAGAGTATTAAAAGAAAGTTATAGAAAATTTCATAAGATTTTCAGAATGTCCACAATCATATTATTTCGATGTACACAACTCCGGTTATGGTTAAAACAAGTAGTTGCTGTTTTGTAGTTCAGTAAATAAATTACAGAATTGTTTGCTTAAGTAATAGAGAAAAGATATACACCTACTCAGTAGAATAGGATGCACTTGTTATTACCTTAATACCTGTTGTTGAAAATGCTCGTGAGAATGCATTCATCACGTTTTATCATACTATACGTGTCAGCATATATGCATTCGCGATATGTTATTCCATGATCATGCATATAGGATCGACCGAGGAGATAACGTTGCTGGAATTCAACGAAGAAGAGTAAGGGGATCAGCAGGAGACTCCTCAAGCAGTAGCTCTAGAAGAAGAGGAGACTCCAGAAGAGCTCCCTGAGTGTCCAGATCACCGCCCCACCTCTTTTCTCAAAGGCAAGCCCCGAAGTATTCTAAGTCTCCCAGTGTTTTATAAAATACTACTTGAGTCCTTTATGATTGATGCATTATGTTATAAGAGTTGACTAGAAACACTTGATGCATGGAACTACCTTGTCCATATATATACATCTTTAACCTTGTGTAGGTTCCAGGATCGAATATATGCTTAGCCATGCTTAGATCGGTAGAAGTCGGGTGATTTCCTGTCACCTGCGAGATATATGTGAATACCAAAGCACGGTTGGCTATATTGCTATCGTGGATATAACCATGTGTTAATAATGAATGGAGACCGGACGGAATGTCGATAGAGAAGCAATAAGACATGGAGGTTTTGGGTGTGGATCTATACTCGTCTGTCTTGATTAAGGACCATACCGTTGTTGACGCTTTTTGACAAGATTGAACGCATGCCTATCACTTAGCTGGCCGGATAATTCGTTTCGACCGTGAAGCCGAGTAGCTCAACTCAGGTCGGGCCCCGCTCTGTCAAAGTGTGCACTCTGGATGGAAGTAAGAATGCGCGGGGAGCGGATCAATAGACCGTGGGCAAGCATGACCTAAGCGACCTGGTCCGGGACCGTGGGCAGGCATGGCTTGAGCGACTTGGCTACCGTCAGTCCCTGATTGTGCGGCGCTGGGCGAACCCGTGAAATGTGGACCTGAGTTGTACCAAAGGTGACCTAAGGCAACTAATGATTTGGTCTGCCTGGGTTTATGTTAGGAATAAATTCCTAGCTGGTTGAAACCGATTCGAATCGCCGTCTCTCCCGGATAGTGAGAAACTTGGCTAGTACCAACATCGTAGTAATTGTATTATGAAATGTGATGGTTCGGATAAACATGGAATTACTACACCTGCTATGGTTACTATTGTATGCTATCAAATGATATTCCACATGTTTGGTACAGGATAGTTGCTAATCTAGAGATGGATAGTTATAATTAACTTGATGACGGAACTATAATTGTATAACTGAGTTAATCGTTTTTTATGCAAAATGTTGTCAAGCTACCTCCACTTATAAAGCCTTGCATAATCCTTGGAGTCAATTTATTTCTGGTTTATGACGGGTAAGTCTAGCTGAGTACCTTCTCGTACTTAGGGTTTTATTCCCATTGTTGCAGATGGTACCGTCTATCACGGATATTGTAAGAACTTTGGGCAGGCATCTTTAATAATCCCTCTATTATGCTTTTGTGGATTGTGATCATGTGTTGGCACTGTATTTAAACTATGTTGGCAAATGCTACTTTCGAACTTTAATTTGCTTCTACTACTATCTATCGAACTTGGTTTGTAATAACTCTATTTCGTACTCTGTGAACTTTATGTAACGTGTGACATGTATGTTGAATCATGTACGATCTTAGTTGTATGTGGATCATTTATCGAGACCCGTTGTGGTACTCGACGAACTAACGGGTTTATATGGGCTCAAGTATGACAGTGCGACCGCTTGCGGGCTGCCATTGTACTTGTGCTCTTATAAATTGGTCGGTTCTGCGACACAGAGGATTGTAGAGGCAGTCATGATAATGATTTTCATCAAATGATTGTTTCTTGCCAGGCATCTGTCACGTAGAAGGCTGGCTTCTTGCAGTTTCTTCCTCTTTATGTTCATGGTTTGGCATCCTTCTCCAGAGCTAATTGGATTGCCATCTTCCATCATCTTCCAACTATTCTCATATTTCTTTAGGATTGATGTTACTTTAGGTGTCATCTTCGTTTCTGCATATGGTTTGAAAATGATACGCACTGGTTTGATATAACTTGAAGGTAAAAGATTGAGGTTGATTAGCAACAATCACACAGTAGAAAAGATATGTTGATATATATATAGGTCTACAATTATTCTACGGGATTTGAAGTTGTCTTGCTAGTTGTCCTTGGGTGGCTATATAATGTTCATGCACTTGTATTCTGCAGCCTTGTTTGGATGGAATGGTGACGCCCAACTCCATCATTTCGGACTAAGGTTCACATATATAAATCGAAGCCTAAGAGTACAAGGCCCTCGTGCTATGTTTAGTAACGTTGTGGAATGGAAAGACAAGTTGTTCGCCACAAGATCATTTGATTTCACACTGTTATTGTCCATTTTATCTAGATTTAGTTGTGAAAAGGTAAAATACCTGTCAAGATTGTTTGAATGTCCATTTCGTACTCAGCACTTCGATCTCCAAGCACAAAATGCTCACGGAGCTGAAACATAGATAGGCTAAGATGAGTTCACATTAGGTTATCAAGGAAAAGAAGAATTATGATCAACAAGCATCACTGTAACTTCAGAAATGAATTGCAATATGTAACATACTGTATCATCTCGCATCTTCCGAAGTAATTGCAGTGTCCCATACTTCTGAACATCCATGTTACCTGAGATACCACCTGAAATGCAATTTGAAGTATACAGATTAAGATTTCGGAGCATAAATATGGAAGTAATCAATAATAGGAAAAGAAATTTATTTTTTCTTGGATAGGATTGTCCTTACCAAACATTCCAATGACTTTCTCCTTTTGGCTTTTCAAGGCATGGTCGTTAATTACAGGATCAGGATCAAAATCTGGTGTCTGAAAGATAATTAATTCTTTAAGTTGAAGTTTAAAACATAAACATGCATATATTAATTATTATTGAACTAGAAACATCACGCCTGATTTCAGTGCATCTTTTTCTCAAGCTCATACAGAGTTCTTTACCAGAATGATATCTTGGGGCACATTTCTAATTTTAGAGTTCTCTGTTCTGTTATCCATTTGGACACCTGAAATTAAGTGACTTTATCATAATCATGAGGAGAAACCGGATCAGTAAAATCGAAGTAGTGAAGTACTATAAGATTGATAGACTCACTGGCTTGTAAGTCTTTTGTGGGGCTCTGACCACCCCCATGCTCTGCGTAGGTAGCAACTTTAGTCTTGAAGGCTTCAGACTTTCTTTTGCAGTTCGTGTTGCTGTCTTTTCTGTTTTTGCTGGTGCTGCAGTTGTTGGTGCCCCTATCACCAATTGCTTTTACTACCTGCTTATTTTTCTTTGGAGTTGAAATGTTCGTGGTTATTTTTTCAGTTTAGACTTGTTATTACTATTAGCTTCTTGTTCCTTCAAACTTTCATCTATTTCAGAGAGGGATGAAGATTTCCCATTTTGAAATACCCGCTCCTTTGCCGCACTCACTGAAGAACCCAAAGGTCAGTCCCTGCAACATGTCAAGAATAATCTGTAGTCATTAACCTAAAAAAGTTGTAAGAAGACACACTTTGTTATCAATGGTTTCATGCATAATCAGCTGAAATAAATCTTTATGTATACCTGTTCAGGACGTTTAACAAGACCTCCTTATATGGCAGTAAATGATAGCATTCAACAACAGATGTCGTTGTTGGGTACGGACCACTTTCAAATATAGGACCACTCATCCTGTCAGAGGAAAGGAAGAAACACAATAGGGACAACTTTTAAATTACTACGATTGAAAATCCCGTATTAACACTAAGCAAAGCAACTCATTTAGGAGGGACAATCAGCAAGCATTATATCATATACACATGAAACAGAGTATCTTGAAAAGGGTCGAAAGAGCTTTAGCAATGTAACCATTGCTGACATTAATCTAAGATATGGTATGCAGTACATACTGTACTTATTTGACTAGGTCTGCAACGTGCAATGGTACAAAGTAGGCACAGTGGAAGCAAACCTTTCGATCAGGGCATCTAAAGGCATTTCCTTAAGCTTGCTATCAACAGTCTGATCATAGTGCAGAAGGAACAACATGGTAGCTGTCCCTTTCTTACTCAGTGAGTACACCCGATGTTCTTCGATAAAACACAAATTTGTACGCTTCACACCTATTAAAACAAAAGTGTGTGAGGACAAGCATAAAATTTGCAGAATCAATAAAATCAAGCACACAATTCCGCTTCCGAAGCAACTTGCGTATCGAACACACAAACAGGTGTAATTTCAAAAGGAACATTGATTGCTATCAGCTCATGTACATAATCTAAGTTACTCTAGGACGCGATTGGTTGCTTTCCCGGCCGAGCTTGGCTCGCTCTAGCCATCCAGGCCCTCAGCAGCCATTTTGGATGCTTGAAGGAGGGTTATGTTTTGTTGCATGAAGCGGCAAGCGGCTGGCTGTGCCTAGAGCCGGTTGGCGGCGGCGACGGTGGCCGGAATCCGCAGACCCCTCCTGTCCATAGCACCATGACTACCCTCTACCGCAACGTCCTCATCTCCAACCTGACAGGCACATCTCCCTTTCAACTCAACAGAGCAGGTCTCCTTTAGCTTGACCACCACCGCCATCATCATGACTAGAGATCATTGGTATGGACAGCTAAATTCGAGCAAAAGCAACAGGCAAACCCTGTACAGGAGCATCCGCAGGCATGCGGGAGGCTGATGAAATAGCACACCAGAGTAGCTGTCTCAATTAACAGAGTGGTATAGTGGAGAAAGACAGAGAGGAGATAGATAGTGCTAAAATTGCATATACATCTGAATATAGGGGCTCCTCGATAATTTTTTATGGAAGTGTATTTCATCATGAATCTCTAAACATCCATCTTATATTACTAATCTGTGTGATTTTTTTTACATGTTGGTAGTTCAAGCTAAAAAAATTAATTTAGAACAAAGCTAGATTGTCTTTTACATTTGTGATAGGAAGGAGTAGCCTTTTTCAGTATCCAGTGGTAGCTATAGTCATTTGTTGTGCTCGTGCAGCTTCAAAAAATTTGGGATGTTGCCATGTTAAGGTATTAGCTTTTTCCTTTTCGTTGTTTCTGTATCTGGTATTGGCTTCCTAAAGGATCAAGGTCGACTATCTCTTATCAGAAGAAATGCACATTGGAAGCCCTTCAGCAACTGTAAACTGCTGCAAAAGCTAAGAAATTGCAAAACTAACAGGTTAAGAGTCAGAACAAAAGCAATTTTAATACCCCTAACTCTAAATTTGATGCACCAAGGAAAGGCAAAGGTCCAGAAATCACTCCTCGTCAAACATATGCCCAGCCTTCTCCTCATAAAGGTTTTGTTTTCTTCATTATCTTTTTTATGCAACCAGCCAAGGTTTTGTTTACCAGCATTTTCCATCATGCTGCTGCTTTTCAGGTGTAGCATTTTCCAGTTCTCATTGTCAACAAAAGCCTTCCGTGTCCTCAGATAAACCTCCCTACCTCTCTATCTATGTGTGCACATGTATCAAGTGTATCGTTGTGTAACTGTGCAACAAATACTTTGAACTTTGTAGGTGAAGAAAACAATCCTGTGGATGCCGAACTTTCTTGTGCCTTTCATGACAATTTGTCCAAAGATGGTGTCTCGTAAATATTCCTCTCATATGGGTTCTTGATATAAAATTTATTGTTATATGTTATTTTACAACCTCTGATATTCACTATGGTGAACTTTGGTTTAGGATTTGGATGGCAAAGAGGTTGTTCACAGTGTTATATATGACATAATTCAGAAAGGTGGAGATGCTGGGAAAATTACAAAGGGAGCCAAAAAGTTGAAGCTGGAAAAAGGGATCCTTTTGGATAATTATGTTCAGAGGGGTCCTAGATTTGTTGACGCCCAAGCAAGATCTTTGCTGATTCATTCAAAGCAATAAAAAAGGCACATGTCTCTGGAACAACATAAGAAATGTGGTTCATTTGATTTAGATGGTACATTCCACAAGTTTTGTTCTGGTTGCCCATAGATTGATACCTCAGCACCCAAAAAAAATTGACCTTTTTTGTTTCTTTAGTTTACATGAATGTAAATAAAACAAAATTCCTTAATGAATGAACTATAGTTTATATCCTTGCTCAAATCTCCACATAATAACCTTATTACCTTTGGAGTCTAACGTTAAAAAAAACTTTGGAGTCTACACAAGCACCTGACGTTCTTGGTCTTGCAGGTATGACCTAGCTAAATATTTTTGCATAAGGGAAGAAAGTATTTAGAATACAACCCACACAAGCACACAACCAAACATATACTGAATTTGTTATGTTTAGAATGCGATACACTGATTTCCAGACTTTATACAGTATACAGTAAAATGCAACAACAACAACATAGCCTTTCAGTCCCAAGCAAGTTGGGGTAGGCTAGAGTTGAAACCCATCAAGAGCCCCAAGTCACGGTTCAGGCAGTTCAATAACTGCTTTCCAAGTATTCCTATTCAAACATAGATCTCTACGTATATCCCAAGCTTTCAAATATCTTTTTATTGCCTCCCCCGTGTCAATTTCGGTCTTCCTCTACCTCTCCTCATATTATTAGCTTAGCTTAGGATTCCACAATGCACTGGTGCCTCTGGAGGTTTCCTTTAGACATGGCCAAACCATCTCAACCGATGTTGGACAAGCTTTTCTTCAATTGGTGCTACCTCTAGACGATCACGTATATTATCGTTCCGAACTCGGTCTATTCTTGTGTGACCGCAAATCCATCGCAACATACGCATTCTGCAACACTCAGTTGTTGAACATGTCAAATCTTTGTAGGTCAACATTCTGCTCCATACAACATAGCCAGTCTAATCGTCGTTCTATAGAACTTGTCTTTTAGCTTTTGTGGTACCCTCTTGTTACAGAGAATGCTAGAAGCTTGTCGCCACTTGATCCACCCTGCTTTGATTCTATGGCTAACGTCCGCATCAATATCTCCATCCCTCTGTAGCATCGATCCCAGATACCGAAATGTATCATTCTTAGGCGCTATTTGACCTTCCAAACTCACATCTCCCTCTTCCTGTACAACTCCGCCAAAGTCGCATCTCATGTATTCGGTTTTAGTTCTGCTCAATCTAAAACATTTAAACTCAAGGGTCTGCCGCCATAACTCTAGTTTCCTATTTAGTACAGCCTGGCTTTCGTCCACTAACACTACATCATCAGCGAACAACATACACCAAAGGATATCTCCTTATATGTTCCTGGTAACCTCATCCATTACCAAGGCAAAGAGATACGGGCTTAAGGCTGATCCTTGATGAAGTCCAATTTTAATCGGGAAGTAATCTGTGTTACCATCGTTTATTCGAACACTAGTCACAACATTGTTGTACATGTCCTTAAAGAGGGTCACATACTTTGATGGGACGTTATGTTTGTCCAAAGACCGCCACATAATATTTTTTGGTATCTTGTCATAAGCCTTCTCTAAATCAATGAAAACCAAGTGAAGGTCCTTCTTCTGCTCTCTAAACCGTTCCATAACATGTCTTATTAAGAAGATTGATTCTGTGGTTGACCTTCCGGGCATGAAACCAAATTGGTTTGTTGATATCTATGTCATTCCTCGCAGGCGCTGCTCGATGACTCTCTCCCATAACTTTATAGTGTGGCTCATCAATTTAATTCCCCGATAATTAGTACAACTTTAGATATCTCTCTTATTCTTATAGATTGGTACCAATATGCTTCTTCTCCACTCCTTAGGCATCTTGTTCGATCGAAAGATATTGTTGAACATCTTGGTTAGCTATATTATAGCTATATCCCCAAGACATCTCCACACCTTGATTGGGATACCATTAGGGCCCATCACTTTGCCCCCTTTCATCCTTTTCAAGGCTTCTCTGACCTCCGATTCTTGAATCCTCCGCACAAAGCGACTGTTAGTGTCATCAAACGAGTCGTCCAGCTGAACAGTGGTGTTTTCGTTCTCACCATTGAATAATTTATCAAAATACTCTTGCCATCTATGTCTAATCTCATCCTCCTTCACCAAGAGCTACTCCCTCTCATCCTTTATGCACTTGACTTGGTTGAAGTCCCTTGTCTTCCTATCGTGAGCCCTAGCCATCTTATAAATGTCCTTCTCTCCTTCCTTCGTACTCAAACGTCGGTAAAGGTCCTCATAGGCCCGCCCCTTTGCCTCATTCACCGCTCATTTTGCAATCTTCTTTGCCACCTTGTACTTCTCTATGTTGTTTGCACACCTGTCATGATACAAGCGCTTATAGCACTCCTTTTCCTTAATAGCCTTTTGCATATCTTCATTCCACCACCAAGTGTCTTTCGAGTCGCATCCACTCCATTTGGTCACTCCAAGCACCTCCGAAGCAACCTTCCGAACGCATGTTGCCATCTTCTCCCACATGTTGTTTGCATTGCTTTCATCATTCCAAGGGCCCTCTTCAATGACTTCTTCCTTAAATACCTTTGATGACTCCCCTTCTAATTTCCACCACTTCGTTCTAGCAACCCTAGCTTGTTTGTTTCCACGAGCTTGCACCAGAAAGCGGAAGTCAGCTACAATATACAGTAAAATGCGCTTTCTTATATAAGCTACGTCAAAACCACTCAACCTATAGGAAGGGAGCAGGGGGCTGATAAAGTCATGGATGGCCGGGAGGAAGAGCTTGGGCCATGGACGCTCGGGGTCAATGCTTCAGATTTTCCCTCGACCATGTAGAAGGATCAATCTTCGTTTAGATTCCAAAAAGAATACTGCAGTGTACAGCCCCTTAACCATGGTGATTTGATTTCTAATTTCAAATATTCATATATATCATGATTTCCCTTTTTCTAATTGTTTTCTACTCCTATTGTCTTCGGTGTGTGCCACTTTTACCTGATTTCTGCTGGTTGATTCACCATGGTCTGAAGGTGGGTGAAACTGAGTAAGGAATTCATTAGAAACCTGCTTTTAACTCATGTTTATGTTGACTTGGAGTGGATATGGAAAGATGGAGGCAAAGTTTTACATCAGTTTAGGCTACACGAACTGTTTAATATTGTTTAGCAACAAAAACAAATTAATGGTTATCTGAAATAAAGGCTACAACATAGAAAACCTACTTGAGATTACTACAGTACCAGTGGAGCCCTGTTAAAATAGTAAAGGATTTGTAGATTTTGCTTGAAAAATATTGTCTCATTGTACATCAGAGACTATCTACTATACATAATCAAATGCTTTCTGTATCTCACTATGGTCCAATATATGGTTGTTATGATTCAATATGATATATGCTAATTGTTGAGATACCAGGATATATGCCTAATAAAGGAACAAGTCATAAATGGTTAAGATGATTTTTTATCACATAAATGTGTCACCGCTGATACAAAAATTTCGTCATCACAATGCATGAGAAATCACGATATAGAAACGTGCGTGTCACATGTGCATTTCCACTAGTAGAATCAAATTAAATGAGAGGAGCCAAACTACACCAGCTAGCCTAACTCCACAAAGTGACCATATTTGTGCCCCTGTGCTTGTGGGTGATCTACAATTCTACTACAAATTAAGGCATGGACCTATAGCCACTAGCCACAAGGCTGCATCTAATTGCTCTAGTAAGAAAAAAAAAAGGAATAAGAGTGCATACATCAAATGCAGTCTAAGTTCAAGAAGAAAACCGTAGAAGTGTATAGCACCAACCTGTTTTGAGCTCCTCCTCTGAATATGCAATCTGCTGAAGGACGTACGGTTCAGAAGGAAGTGCTATGGATTTATTACTCGACCCCTGCACTGACATGTCACTGCTGAGCGAACCACCTAACGCCGTCTTGATATCTTTCTCAAAAATCGACCAGAAGCCCTTGGTTTCGGATCCATGCTCGAGCAAGCACACTTTCTTTGTCCGACTGAGAAGCAGAACAGCGACCTTGGAGATCGGCCACATGATCATCTCGGGGGAGTCCTTGGTGGGGTCGAGCGCCTCGGCAATGTCACAGGCGTCGATGATTGCCTTGTCAGTAACCGAGAGCCCTGCCCCTACTCAGTTGCCAAGGTTCTGGGCCTGATTCAGGTACATGAGCAGATTTTTGTTGCTGACGGTGAGGGAGGCGGACATGCAGAACCGATCGGGGCTGGCAAATTCGAGCTGCGGGAACTGCTTCTGGTGGTAGTAGTTGTACAGGAGAACCGTCGCGTGGACCTGCGGAACCACAAAACCACATCCATGGCGGCGTAGTGAGGTAATCGCAGACGAGTTACTGGAAAAACAAAAGCGAATTCCGAAAGCCCCAAGCACGAAACAAATAAGCCGAAACAAGCTCCATGATGGCGCCGGGAGGAAAGCCGCAGCTCGGCAATTGCACACAAAAAATGTATGTGTGATCACACTAAGCGAAACAATGTAACGGATCAGCCTGTAGAAACCACGAATTCCGAATGCCCACAAGCACGTAGCACGCAGCGCGACCCAAATCCACCCCCGGAACGAATCGCACGGGGTGGAGGGGCAAGCGCCATGCTCCGTTCTTCAGCCCCGATCGACCCGACGACCCTCCAGGAAACCCCACCGCAACCGCGCCACAACACGCGAAAAGGAGCAATGGGTCAAGCACAAGCTTCCTCACCTGACGCGCCACGGCCTCCTGAGTCTCAGGCGACAGGGACTCCTCCGGGTCGACCTGGCCGCGCTGCGTCCCGCGCCACCTCTAGGGTTTTGCGCCGCGGGGGCTGGGGTTTTCTTGGGAAGGGCAGGGGGCGGCCGCTGTTCCGACGAGAGCTGGGACTGCTGGGATGGCAGGAAATGGAAGGCGAGGCGCGATCGTTCAGGGTGGGAGCCGTGGGGCTGGAAACGGTGGGTGTGCGGAGAGCGCAGGGGGGCGAGATCCGCCGTCCAACACGAGACCTGGTGGATCGGGGCCGTCCGAGGCGGCGTCACGAGGAGTTGCCGCGGCGAAAGGCTGGGCTGGCTGGCCTTGTGCTTGCGACTGACTGGATTCTACTGGGAACAGGGGTTTTTTTTTTTTTTGTCTGAGTTACCGCTCATCATTGGACGGGCTCAGGTAGTCAGGTACTGCCTCCGTCCCATGAGTGTTTGGATGGGACTAAACTTTAGTCTATGTTAAATTATTAATTAAGAGTATTATGAAGCTTAATTTACGAGACGAATCTATTAAGTTTAATTAGTTTATGATTAGCAAATGTGATGCTACATTAAACATATGTTAGTTATAAATTAATTAGGATTAATAAATTTGTCTCTCGAATTACTCACGACTTATACTATTAGTTTTTATATTTAGCTCATGTTTAGTCCTCCTAATTAACATCAAACAGCCCATGTGGTCCGGACTAAACTTTAGCCCGTGGATGAAGGTTTTGGGAGGTTTGAGAGCAAGTCCAACAGATAAGTTATCCTTATTGTGTAGGCCATTTTAGAATTTTTAGAGCAAAATTGAGCTCCAAGAAATGTGCTATATGGTTTTGTAAAATAGCAAACAGACTATTCCTGAAATTCTGAAATTTCGGTGGCCATACAAAGCAAGCCAGGTTCGCTCGCCATCCGCAGAAATCGCTCGCCACATCAGCGCCCGCCCTCGCGTGCGAGATCCTTCCCGCGCTGCCGTGCACCAGAGATTACCTTCCTGCGCCCGCTGAACATTCCCGTCGTGGGGATCCCAAGCCCGACCTGCTCGATTCCGAGCTCGTCCATTGCCTCCTCCCCTCCCCTGTCGCCGCCGCCACCCCCATTAACCACTGAAGCTGCTAATCGCTGCCCCTCGGAATCTCCCTTTTCCTCTTCGTCATGATGTCGAGATGCTCCGCCGTACGTGCGCCGGGGAGATCCCAACTACGTTGCCCTATATTCACTCCCCATTGTCCCGGCGTCAGGTTGATGGGAGGAGCAGGATTCACCGGCGCTGCCTTGGTTGGAGAATGCGGCGCAAGCAGGCTAGCGTCGATGAGTCCTTCCACCCAACAGTGATGCTGCTGCATCGAATCCATTCCTCGACGTGTGCTCTGGTGAGTCAAATTTGCAGCCTGTGTTGAAATCACGAGTTCCAAATCGACAACTTTGTTTAACTAGGTCATCAGTTATCTCTGCTACATCTGCTACAGAAAGATGAGAGTTCATCTGAAAGTAGAAGCCTGATCCTTTCTACCAGTTCTTGTAGTTCAGTTTTCCCTGGTTCATGGAAAATAATTCATCTTTCCTCTAGCAGTATTACTAACATTCTCATCTGCAGAACGTTCTGAATATGATAATGATTTACAATGTCCTCTCAAGGTACCCTGTAGTTTTTCCGTTCTGTTATGCATATGCTTGATGGTTCAGTGTTAGTGGATGTTGTTGCTTCATCAGTAAGCATGCACCTATAAACTGTTTGGTGGTCACTGGGAGGCGATTGCAGCATATAGGAAATATCACAGAACTATCTAACATATACGGTTTGGCCACAGTTGTTTCTCTATATGGTTTAGCCATAGTTGTTTCTCCACTGTACTTAACAGATAAGAGAATTGCTCCAGTACTCATCTTTCTAAAAATAACACATATCTCAAAGCGGTCCATTTAATAAATTAAACATTTTTTAATTTTTATCCATCTAAGTCTCGTATGGGCCAGCCCTTCAAATCCTAGCCCGTGCGGCCATGCCTAGCCCAAACCCAGTGCGTTTGTTAATCCTGTGTTCGCACCTTTCCCTGCACCTCCGTCTACCTCCGGCCTCCGGATCTCCGAGATTCCGACGCTCTTCCATTTCTCCGTGAGGGAGTTTGGACTTTGGACACGGAAGCTCCCGCCTCTTCCGTTTCGCGTGAGGACGTGTGCTGGTACCGTTCACCGCTAGTTATTGCAAGTCTGCCACCTTTGATGGACGTCTACCTTTGGATGTAGCCGTGACGGAGGTCCGTGAGGCGCAGCTGGCGAGACTGGTTGTAGGCAAGAATTAGCATTTCAAGCTTTGGTGGACAGTACATCTTATCACTCTTTTATTGATTTCTGCCCATGCAGATAAAAATTTTAGTATTCCAGTTCAGAATTAACCGACTGATGAGATCATAACATAGGGTATGTTAAGCCTCTCCCAACCGACCCTTCCAGGATCGTCCGGGGCTTATACCCATCGGGTATGCACGCGCGTACCCTCCGGCAAAGGAATCAGGCCGAGCTCGAGCACGCTCGCTGCCTCTGCTCGGGACTCGAGGGCTCGCCCGAGCCTCAGGCTCCCGATCGACAGGAGTCTGGACCCGATCCTTGGAGCTTCAAGCAAGCCTACTACTGTGAGCAGGACTGTGTTGCCCAAGCGGCCACACTGTATGCCCCTTGCGGTCCCACCGGCTCTGGCCGCAACATAGGAAGGGCACCGATGAAGGGAGAGACTCCGATGACGGCGACGCTCTATCAACCGAGCTCCAGCGAGGCGTCTGATGCAACTGGCGGTAGCGAAGCCTCGACTGGCCCCTCCATCTAGGCGCTCGCCCCCCAGAAGGGGCTGACCCGATCGAGGTGAGTTCCGACCTTTCCCCATGAGGGAAGGACACTGTCGAGCCATCCGCCCAGTAGCTCGGCGCCCCGGCCTAGTCAAGCCCACCGACCTCCTTTGGCGGCACATCGCCCCAACAGCAAAAAACCAAGCTAAGTCTCGCTTTCCCGACCTTTCGCTTCCCTCATTTCGTTACCATTTCTTTCTTCCCGAGCGACCTCGGGAAACGCTCGGTTGCATCAAGGAATGGCTAACTTATCATGCTTTGCCATTTCCGAAGGGGGATTACGACCAGGGACACCTTGACGTGCAAGGTTAGGACGGATGGAGCGAGCCAAGCAACGAGGGAACCGAGCGAAGGATCGGCGAGCGGTAACAGAATGGCCCCGATCGTCGCGTTATCAGCTATGTCATCTTCCCTTTTCTCGTTTCCATTTCGTTTCATTTCAGCTATTCTCTTCTGATCCATCGACGGATCAAGTCTCCCAGCCGCATGGCGGCGTGGGGCCCCTAGACAGGGCATTGCCGAGGGTTCTAAGGCTAGCCCATCGGGCTTCAAGGCCGCCCGAAGCACCTAAAGTGCGAGGGACGTTCATGGGTGGGCACAAGCGGCCTTAACCAGGTGCTCGGAAGTGGAGTCGGCAGCCCGTCAAACGATGTTCGAGTACCAACCTCGAGCCGCTCGTGGTGACCCACCGAGGAAGGCAGCGAGCCCCCAAGCACCGAACGACGGGCTCGGGAACTATACGAGTGGCTCGGTCGAGAACCCGAGGATCTCCCCTCTAGGGGACATGACCAAGGCACGGAATGACCGTAAACTTGGGGTTCTCACGGACTTACCCGCTAGTAGCACTGGCGCGGCAATCTTGGCCACCGAGGTCATTGTCGTAACAGCCCATCCCAATGAGGGACCAAAGTCTCCGAGCATGACTCGTGAGCGATGAGATTATAAATGAAAGTAATTTCATTAATAATTGGGAACGACCTGATTACAATATACGGCGGCAAAAATCGCTGCCCTAAAACCTCCTATACGGCAGCAACAATCGCATGGGCACGCCCGTTGCCCCGACCGAACGACCGTTGGGCCGCGCAGTTCACTGACAAGTGTGGAAGGAGGCTCAGCCAGCCCCCTCCTGACCCACCGGTCGAGAGCGCCTCTGCAGCAACAGCGACAACGAGGGTCAAACTGGTGGGGCGGAGCCCTAGCTCGCTCTCGTTCACTCCCCCTCCGGGCTCTAGCTCTAAGCTAGACGGCCGCCTCCTCCACGGCCGGAGTGCTCTTCCTCTGATAAATGGAGGGTAGCCCAGCGGCTCACGTCGCTGGGATCCTTCCGTTCTCCAGAGGAAGACGACGGGTGTTGACATTCCTTAGCGTCGTTACTAAGAACAGAGTTGAATCTAGTCCCCAGCAATGGTGCCAAAAATGCTTGTTGGTATTTATTAACTTGTCACTTGTTTTAACAGCCACCTAATGTAAGTCTACATTTCTTAGTATTACTGTTACTAAGTTGTCATCCCTAGTGATGATGCCAGAGATGCTTATGATTGCAGCTTAGTACTACTACTAGAGTAATACTAAGTAGTTCTTTATTATTTCATGTGACTCGAAAGAATATATATATATATATATATATGAAAGGGATCTGCAAGCGCACAGATAATATACCATTGTAGCACTTCACCCAGGAGTATTCCAGGTATCGTTATTTATATTTTTACCACAGGGAAGGTCTAGCATGGACATGTATTGATAACTTATACTATTGATGGAGAAGTAAGCCATAACCAATATTCTACTTATAACAGGGGTAAGTCATAAGATAAAATATTTATATGATAAGTATTGATCAATGATAAATCGCTCAGAGTACTCCTTTCTATGGCATTAGCATGGTCAGAGAGAATATTAGAGGAATAATTTCTAACTCATTCTTGATTACACGTCAAAGCATACTATGGTTAGTGCTATTACACCTAGTAATCATGGTTAAGATCAACTTCATATCTATACATAAGGGATATTACTAAGGAAGATTAAGAACAGAGCTTGTCTTCCTTCGTAACTGGATCCTACATGCAAACCTATATTCGGGGAGTGGACTACAAAGGACTCAACGGGAGGGTCACATCCGAGATCTACCACATGACTCGGAATATAGGGTGTATCCACAGGTAAACAACGTATAAGCACCACGCTTACACAATGTCGACCACTCACCCATGGTGCCCTAGAGTGAGCGCTATACGAACTTATGCATCAACATGAGGGTAATCCAACTATACTAAGCATATAACCAAAGTAAACCATGAACATTATAATGAAGAACATAAATAAGATGAATACTAATATTGTCATAACAATTGTAGTAAACATATAAAAGTAATGAGAGATACAAAAGAGGGGGTACAAAGATTATACCAAACCATGCTCTTGACAATATCAGAAATCCAAGCGAAACCTGCTTGCCTCCCTCTAGACCTAGCCTAACTAGCTATGCCCTAGAATATGGTGGTGCTCTGAGGATAATTAGGGTTTCTGTCTTCTCAAATGACTTATGCCTCAGGGGGGTGGCAGGGGCTGGTATATATAGGCCGGAGTGTCAATCCTGAGCCCTCGGATCAAACCGACTTGAATAAACAGCGTAGATGCATCATAGGAGGCGGTGGAGAACCGACATAACAACAATGAGACAGACAGGTGGGCCTAGGGGCCGGGTGGCCTACATCTGCCTCTGCCTCTCTACCTCGGCGTGGTGTCCTCTGGTATCTTCTAAATCCTTCTGGTGTCCGTTTCGCTGTGGATAAGCGCGATTAAATCTAACATCTAGGTCCACCTTGATGGTTTTCTGGATAAACCCTGCAAAAAATATAGATTCACCAAAACTCATGGAATTTGTTAGTTTAAACCCCTAGACGTTCGTTGGTGATTGCTTTCATGCCCTCATTCATGTTTTATTGACGGTTTATAATGGTTGTTAACTACCATCAACAGTGGGGCAGAAGCGCGACGGCACGTGGCGATGTGGGGGCGCTGAGGGGGGCAACGCATGAGGGCAGGACAGTGTCCCTCGGTGCCAACCCTCGCCCCCCTCCACACCGCATCGTCTCCTTCTCTTCGCTGGAATCCTTCCACTCTCGTGGGAGCGAGATTGCCCGACGGAGGGAGGCAGGCTCACTCGGAGGGCGGCGTCACACTTCATCGTCACCATGGACATGTGGAGTT